ACAATAACATCAACATCACTGTTTATGCACAGTTGCCGGTTGACTTTTCTCATCTTCAATCTGGCACCTTAAGAGAAACATACAATTGTGTTATCCTGTTAAATGAACTCTATTAACATACAAACAGGCATGACTGATAATGTTTGCTGTCTAGCTCTCACATTAACATTAGTTGTTTTATCATAAGCCATATAATAGTGAAATAGATCATTTGGCCTCATCTGTAGCATCATCCCCTCCACGGCACTGTGTAACACTAGTGTAATTGTGCAGGAACACTTACATTTCAGCATTCATCACATGCCAACAAATTGTTTGTTTGGAGTTTACCAATATCTAATGAGAAAAAAATCATCTCAGTACTGAGCCTTTGAAGAGACCAAATAAGACTTTGTTGAAGGAATAGAAGAGGAGAACAGAAAGTGAGCAAGTTAGAAACCGGACAAAAATAAATATCAGGCATTTCATTTGTTGGCGAGAGTTTAAAGAGGTAAACGGATGCAGGACAGCTGACAAAAGGGCCTTTTTAACATTGGAGTACTGATGACAATGCCTTAGGGCAGTGTTTTTCAAAGTGGGGGCTGCAGCCCCCTGGGAGGCACTAGGAGGCCTCAGAAAATTAGAGGGAAGATAAGAAAAAAGAACTTACACTCAATAAGTGTAATGATGCCACGTTTTGTAACATCATCTGCATTGATTAATCACATTCATGAGAATTATTGTCAATCTTCACGTCAAAACTGTGTCAGTAGATTGAATGCACACGTGAGTGTATGTTGTCTCTTATAGCCTGAAAAGGCTGCTGGCCTTAATTCTATAAAGCTTTAAAACAACAAAGGTATCCATATGCCCAGCAGCAAGGCACCAATACAAGTTGTTGTCCTGTCACCCAGTCCTCCATTTTGACAAGTGCACTGTGTCCAATGTGGACTTCTGTCCTGTCTGTCATCACCTGTATTTCCAAGTTTGCCCCTCTCATGCTCCCTCATCCTTCTTCCTGCTTCTACCTCCCTCCATCTTTCCCTGAGTCCCTGTCTTCCTGCAGGTGGAGACAGATTCAAGGAGAGGTCCTCCACAACAGATGAGGAAGAGGTGGAATCAGGGCAGTCCAGCCAGTCCTCAGCCGAGGATCGTGGGTATCCATCCTGTGGTGACGAACCTGGAGACATGAACTTCCAGTAAGAGTCTCCTTTGAAGAGATAAATTGAGCCTGGAGAGGGGAGACAAACATCATCACAGTTTTTGCACAGTAACAAAAGTGCTTGCTTATTTAACATTATCTTTCTGGTTCATCTGATTTTCTTTGTCTCAAGTACATCTGATATTTTCCTGTGTGTATATATATATATATGCATTTCCAAAAAATTGTAGACATGTTAATCATGCAAACCATTTTTCTTTTGTCAAGTGGTTGCTGTCCAAATCATTTTTTTTAATTCTTCTAATCAATGATAATGATTTATGATGATAAAGTTAACACTGGTGATGCTAATGCACACAACTTCTAAAATCCTAAAATGCTCAACTGTAGTTCATTTATAGTTTTTTTTTTTCAAACTAAATGTAATCAACACTACTGCAATAACTTGAGCCATTCGATTTGTATGTAAATCCAGTGTTCCCTCTCTTTATCTCCATGTCTCAACTACCCCCTGAGGGAAATAGCTGTCTCTTTAGCTCCTAAATGATTCTTAGTGCAGCTTCTCTTTGGCTGTGTCTGCAGCAGGTAGTGGACAGTGTCTGTTCACAACTGCCAGCTGCCTGTTGAAAATAATCTGAAGAGAGCTGTCAGCGTAAAATAGAGCAGTTGTAGCCCAGGGACTCTGGAAAGCTAAACAATGAGCTGTAAATATGATAATTTTCTGTAGAATAATCGCTACTACAGACAAATCCAGGAATATAATTTGATATGTTATTATAAAAAATATTTTTGTTAAGAATATGTGTTAATAACTCATTCGCTCACTCACACAAACAAACAAACACTGAACCAGTTGGACGATGACTATGTTTGAGTTATTTTCCTTCCATACACACACCATTGCTGTCTGTCGTGATGCCACTGACTCCCTCTTTAAGCAGCTGAGTCCAGGTGTCTTCTTGTTTCTCTTCCTCAGCATTTCCTAAGTTTCCCCACATGGGACCGTCCTCTGGATCCCATACCAGGCCCCACCTCCCTGCTGCTGCTTTCTCATCATCATCATCAACGTCACCTGCTCCAACCATACGTAGCCCCATCCTGAGGGCAGAGAGGGGCTGAGGGTAGCCTTCCTGCAGGGACAGGTCCTTGAACAGCCAGAATCTGGAGCCTGCAGCAAAACATGTGGAGAGTGAGAATGCTTTACATTTATGACCTGTAATGACAAATGTATTTATTAATTAAATTCAGTTCAATTTTATTTGTATAGTGCCAAATCATAACATACATTATCCCAAGACACTTAAGTTTCAGCGAGTAAGATTTAGGGGAGAGGGATCTATTTGCAGAAAAGGAGAAGTTCGTTTTTTTTCAACCTGGTCCTTATTTCCAGCATATGGTATGTAGATCTACTCACCCATAAAGGTTTGGAGTAACTTGGAGTCCTTCGGATGCTTTTAGATCCACACGTGATCGGCGTATATCCATACAACGCAAGTGATTGGGGCATCCATAATACAGTCTCTAAATAACACATTATCTGCCGCAAAACTCTTTATTTACTATGAATCGCCAGCACTAGTCCCCTGTGAGTCCACGTTGCTTTGTTTACATCCAGGGCTTTCACTGGGGTGATGTCACCGAGGCGCGCAGCTGCAGTGTACCTGACGATCACCTGTGTTTGTTTACACATAGTTTGCTGCTGCTGCTAGTTTTGCGCAACATGGAAGAATACATCAGATTTTGAAAATGTGGACGACAACTTTGACTTTGATGGACGCCCTTGCCGTTGTGAGCCAGAGTACACAGATGAGGAGCTCCTTGAAAGGAGGATGCAGCGGCAAAGAGAGGAACAGCGCAACCAGCCAGAGCTTTAGTACATCCAAGTTGCGCAAAGGAATCATGTGGAAGCTGAATACAATTTTGAAATACGCAAACACGAACCATGTTGTCAGCAACAGCACACTCCGTGTAAACAAACACAGATGATCGTCAGCTGTGCTGCGACTGCGCGCCTCGGTGACGTCACCCCAGTGACGTCACCCCAGTGAAAGCCCGAGATGTAAACAAAGCAACTTGGACTCACTGGCGATTCATAGTAAATAAAGAGTTTCGCGGAAGATAATGTGTTATTTAGAGCTGTATTGTGGATGCCCCAGTCACTTGCGTTGTATGGATATACGCCGATCACGTGTGGATCTAAAAGCGTCCTAAGGACTCCAAGTTACTCCAAACCTTTATGGGTGAGTAGATCTACATACCATATGCTGGAAATAAGGTCCAGGTTGAACAAAACGAATTTCTCCTTTAAATGTTTTCACTAGAGTGTTTCATATTAATGTACAAATTGTTGTTTTCTTTACCCTAGAATGTGGCCTTTATATTTAAACACTTTATATTTACATTGGGAGAAGGTGCTCTCTATGGAAGCCACCATGTTTTTTTTTACAGAAGTCCAGACTGGACAAACTAGTTGGACAAACTAAACAACTTTTTTTGACAACTAAAGCTACCGTAGATTCTCTTTCATGTTGAGAAAAAGAGGGTGAAGTGAGGGGTGTTCATCTGCAACGTGCGACTTCACCACTAGATGTCACTGAATTCTACACACAATCAAGCAAGCCAACAGTTCCCACAATGAGTAAGGACTTTGGTGACTGTGAAGAGAAAAGTCTCCTGCACACTTTCAATAAGTAAATGTCTGTGGATATAAAATAACATTTTCACATTATCACACTATATTGTTGGAATGTACCACTGATAAAGATGATAGCATGATCTGATGGTCTCTCCAGCACGGCATGAAGTCGAGGCAAGTCAGGAGGTAGACCCCGCCACAGTTTCCTGACTGAAGCCCCGTGACCTGACACCAAACCTGCACCACTGACTCGCCACATCGTCAGACCTGCAAAGGAGGGGTGTAATGATGAAGATGGAGCGATCCGCCTATTGGCAAATTTGTAATGCCTAACGAAACAGTTGTATGCATTCAGACCTTTGAATAAGAATATCTCTCCTCTTATCCTTGCCACAACGTCAAAACTGGTGTTACATCGATCTAAGGAGGAGCTGAGGGTAGAAAACACAAAGAAGGGTTGGTTGCATTAGTTTACACGCATTATATAAATTGGTTGTTAGCACAATCTGGGAACACCCATTTGGCACACTCTCATTCAGTCTCAAATAGACTATCCACCACTGCATGTTTGTGCAAACATCTCTCAGCTCAAAACTCAGTGCTCACTTCACAGAAATTCTGTACAAATATAAAACAAGAAACTGGAAGACAAACTGAGACCATGTTCTAAACAGAGTGAACAGAACACAAATGTAAGCTGGCATTTCAAATCCTTGACACTGACTTAATGTAACACATATATAAACATGTCAAGTGGCCCAATTAGTCTTAACTAAAGCTTTTTAAACAGATTGTCCCTAACCGTGTTCACAGAAACAACATGTAGCCTCTACATTTCCATATAAAACTTTCATGACAGTTTCAGAAAGCTTTTATATAACTACAAACCTGGAGTTTGTGAACATATGTGGCTCATTTCCTTTTCTGCAAATATTTGTCTTATGAGCCAGGGTGGCTCCTTACTCCAATTCCTTGTGAATTCATAGTTAATTACTACCCCCTACTGATATCACACGGGTGTGACATGACATTACACAAAATAACTGAGTAACAAACAGATGGATTACTTCTAAGGTTAAAATCATTTTTTTTATCTACATTGATCTAACACATGGCCTCTCTGTAATCTGAGTGATTTGTTTGCAAAGTGAGGTTTGGAGTAGGGTTGATTATAAATCTATCTATCTATCAATCTATCTATCTATAATGATTTATAATAATAATAACTGAAACACACTCGTCCAAAGACCTTTTTTCCTTGCATTACTAAATGTAATACCAGTTGTACTTGAATAATTAATAACAAACCTGAATAATTGTAAACCTGCCCTTATTAACTTGTGCATATTTTCTATCTTCTTATCAATTATGTTATAACATGTTTTGTATTTGTTGACAGTTATTGTGAAAACCCTAGAAAATGTATGGCATATTTGCTGATGAAAGATAATCACCACAGAGAATATCTCAAAAAACCTATTTCTCTAAACTCTAATTTTGACTTGTAAATCATACCCATATCTGTGGTCATGGTGGTGTGTAGCTCTGTGGTGCAATTGAGGCTCTGGTGCAAAGTGAGAAGCATCTGTAGGGGGCAGCAGGCTCCGTTTACCTAAACCAAGAACATTTATGTCATTACTACAAATCATCTCCATACAGTAGATGGTTCTTCTTGATAAAAATAACAATTATGCAGGTGTAATGGACACTGTGTGTACATGGCATCTGTCAATGTGCGTTTCTATGCGTGTTTCGACTGGTGCCAACTGGATGGGTTAAATGCGGAGAACAATTTCATGTATGCATGTAAAAGTGTTAAAACGTGACAATAAAAGTATATCTTCTTCTTCTTCTTCTAGTTTCAAGGTGCTTCACACTATGAGTCACATTCATACATACACACATTTATACAACACTTCTTTACTTCTCTCTAAGTATAATTTCTCATTTATCATTCATACATTAACCATCGTCAGGTGGACACCCCCGTACGATCTGATCGGATATGACCAAGTATCCCAAACTATGGTTCGTGGATTAAATGTTGTGATGTCATACTCATTCATTATTACTGTTTGGTCACTATACTGTGACACAGAATTTTCCATTAGTTGATTTACAAAGGTTATCAACTACTGTTAAACATAAGAGCCAAATAGGCTTTTAAATCTACTCATAATGGATGATCACCACATTAAATCTGTATCAGTAATAATCACTAATGTGCTGCCATGCTCACAATGATAACACTGACATGTTGATCATTATCAGGTACTGTTTTTAGAATGGCCATCAGTTTAGTGTGTTGGCATGCTTACATTTGCTAATTAATTAGCACCAAGTGCATATAGCAGAGGTTGGTGGGAATGTCAAGTTTTGCAGAAGGTGGGTTCTCATGTCGCACACAGGACATTGAGTTGTCAGCTTGAGATTTTTCTTTATTTCTGCATACACTACTCAGTCCTTGTCTGCACTCGTGTACGCTGACTTCCAAATGTTTCTTATGTCTGGGATCCCAGCTGACCTCCAACCACAATCTGTGTGCAGATGGGATGTCTGTCTCTTCCTCTATGTCTCTCAGTCCATTGCTACTGAATTTGAAGGAGAGTTTGTATAGCCACCTCAATGTACTTATGCCAATCACTTCATCTGGTACTGCTCCAGACCGCCTCTCCGCACCTGCCCAAACCACGCCCACCTCCACAATATGGCATGAACTGGCTAGAATATGTATGGCAAAAAGATCATAAAATAAATTCTCATGGTGGATTTGCTGACTTTTCAAACAGCAAATGCAAAGTCAATCTTTACAGTGAATAATTCTTACCATAGAGCTGGGTGATGTCCTCCAGATCATTGGGTCCCAGGTGGTAGTGGAGGGGGTCACCAGCAGGACCCTGGTAGTAAGGCCTCATCACTGAGTGGCGTGATGAGGAGTGAGCCAGGCCAAGTGCATGGCCAAACTCATGCACCAGTACTGTGAACAGGTCAGTACCCTCAGAAGCTAGGAATGAGAGAGAGAGGAGAGAAAATCAGTTCAGTGAAAGGGCTTGAGGGCTAATGGTCATGACGGCATATCATGAGGACATGGTTGTGATAATTTTTTACGGAAAGCAGAGTGACTGCAAGCGCATAGGATCAATGGAAGAGGCAAACAAACATGTTGATGAGCTACAGCAAAGAAATATTAATATAACTCAAAGAAACGCCATATAAGAGAAAGTAAAAGCTGTGGGTAAAACAAAAAACGATGAAATTAAGAGAAGATGGCAGGACATAGGAAGAAAAACAAAAAAACAACTCATAATAAAACCTCGGCGAATGAGGCAGATGTACTAAATGAACAGTACGTGTTATTCTGCACGCAACCCTCAGTGTGTACTGTTTAGATCAGCTTGCATGTTCTTTGTGAAATCAAGTTTGCACACATTTTTTGTGCAACAAAATTTCAATTCCTGATGTCCACAGTTTTGTGGGGCATATCAGAGCTTTTAATAAAATGTCCAATACGCTCACCTAATTAAAGCTCGTCCTTGGCTCCTTGCCATTCTGAGTTCATCTGCTCCCCACACAGAGCCCTAATTTCAGCTCCCACATGTTGATTTTTCTTTCACAAAAGTTATTTTCCAGAATAAGCCAACCTTTTTTCGGACATTCCTATTTAAATATAAGAAGTTAATCAAGACTGGAAATTAACCCCCCCCCCCCAGGTTTTCCAGAATGCATGGGAACCTGGAGTTGAAATAAGTTCCTGGAGTTCCAGGATGTTGCCTAGTAGCAGCTATAGTTACAGTGACTGTGTCGGATGTGTTTGCAGCACAGGAGCCCCACAGGAAACAGTGCTCTCTCCTTTTCTATTAACCATATACACATCAGACTTCAGACACAACACAGACAGCTGTTAATCCAGAAGTTCCCTGATGACACAGCCATCGTTGGTCGTGCATCAGAGGGCAATGAACTGGAATATAGGGGGGTCATTGCTGACTTTGTCCACTGGTGTGAAATGAATCACCTTTACATCAACGCCACCAAAACAAGATGGAAAGACTTTCACAGGACACTATAAAGGACTTTTTATGTCACTGTGGTGGCTTATGCGTTGTTCTACGCCATTGTCTGCTGGGGGTGCGGATGCACTGAGAGGGACAGAAAAGACAAATTAAACTGGTTAGGAGAGCCAGCTCGGTCTTGGACTGCCCTGTGGATTCCACTGAGGAAGTTAACATCAAGGGATGTTAGCAAAACTGAATTCCATCATGGACAACACCTCTCACCCCCTACATGAGACCGTGGGGGGCCCTGAGCAGCTCTGTCAGTAGCAGATTGCTCCACCCAAAGTGCAAGAAGGAAAGCTTCTGTAGGTCCTTCATTCCCACTGCTGTCAGACTCTACAACAAAAATAAAATACTGCACCGGTCATGTCAGTCTACTTATATTATTTGCACTATTTTTAATAGAAAATTACTTTTTGCACATTTGTGTTGGGTTCTTCTAAAGTTTCTATCTTATCATCCTGCACTTTACTAATAACATTTCATACAAACCACTAAATTGAAAAGGTGTATATAATGTAATTTCTTATTATTATTTTATATTGCCTTCTTTTTATATTTTTTTATTCTCTTGACTACATTTTGACTTGCCTGCTGCTGTAACAACTGAATTTCCCTGGTGTGTGGATCTATAAAGTTTTATCTTATCTTATCTTATATCAGCTGAAGTCAACAGAAATGTTTTTCCCACCACTCTACCTAGTTGTCTGAAGGCCCACTCCTCTTCTGCGTCCAAATGAACTCCTCCTGCCCGAGTAGGGTCTGATGGGAAAAAAGCATGGCCGACTGCACCACCTGCCCCATCAAAGGGATAGCCATCGCCGTGGTAACCATGGAAGAAATCTATCTGCAGGTCAGCTGCATGTGGACTACTTACCTAGGGACCAAGGGTAGAATGGAATGTCTTTTTTTAGGCAAATAAATAGCAAAAGACATTAAGTATCAGCAGCTAGTTGTTCTGAAATGGATTTCTTTAGCAGGCCTTTGGCCCCATAGGATATGCATCAATTATCTATCCTTTATGCCATTAATACAGCATCAGTTAAGATACACTAACCTCATGGAACTCCAGGGTTGTCGGCTCTGCCCATACTCTTAAGGCATAGAAGACCAGTGAGCGAATTGTTTCCCGGGACAGATGGGAGGAGGAGGGATATGAATGCAACCTAGAAATGTAAGTGTTTGTGTATGATGGAAAGACCGAGAGAGTGAGAGACATTATCACATTATAAATGGCTGAAGCCAATACGCACCGGTTTAAAATGGAAAATACTAATGTTTGAACCAGGTTAGCAGATCATAATCAAGTCAAGATAATGAGAGTAATCTTGTCCCACCTCCAGTTAATGTTCCTGCGTGTCCACATGGAAATAGTCCTTCTCCTTCTCTTGTTTCTCCTCTCTTGGTTGTCAGGGGATTTGGATGGTTCCTCTTGGTCTGGCATGGAACAGCGTGGACTGTTCATCAAAGCCATTGTCTCCTCATCTGAACACCACAGCACAGCAGAATCAGAGTAAACTCAATGAGGCTCATATAGAACACAGAACAGAAAAATCAATGCACTATGTGTCTTAAAAGTAAGGTTTACTTACTTTTAACAACCATTGTCTAAAATCCTCACCTACAATTCCAGTGTCTTTGAGGCCGGCAAACCTCTGCATAATTCTGACAGCGTTAGTGACAGCTGTCCAGGCCTGGAGCTGTCCGGTGGAGGGGTCTGAGGGTGGAAGGTAGCCAAATTTCACCAACCAATCCTAAAACAAGAGCAGATAATTGCAGTGTTATTCCTTCATTTAAAATCCTACAATGATGCAATCTCTATGCTTCAAACAAACCATCTTAAAAAGAAGGAAACCATCTTCAAGTAAAAGCAGAAAACTTCCTGCTTGTGCTGTTTGACAAATAATTCAAACTGGATATTAAAAATAAAATCTGCTTTTATTTTAATTACATAAAATAAAAATATGGAATGGTTAAGATGCCCTTCAGAGTTTGACTGAAGTGTTTTCACGTTAAAGATGCAAGTAATGGCAGATCACTCTTTCATACAAATCACTCCCAAACTATTTGTAGTTTAACTGGCTTTGTTCTTTGTGCCCAGGATCGTCTGCTTGTTTTCTTGTCGGCCTACCACACCCAGCCAGCATGCCAAGCAGCCTAAACCTACTACACACTCTGAGCTTCATTCTCACTGTAATCTTTTTGTCAACAGACAACCATTTTTGTAATAATAGCGTTTGTTCATACCTCTGTGTCTATTTTCTGTGCTAAACGCTTAACATTATTAAGGACAGTTTTACCTCATGACGATCACTGTGGAGGTGAAGGGGCTGGGAGAGCACCTTCACCTGCAACACAGAGGATCAGTCAGCGCAGGTGAGAGCTGTTAGCTGATTGATCCTCATGCCCAAAAAGGCAGCAGCAGAGCTGCCTCAAAAAAGTCACACTGGGAAATGAGACTCACACAGTGACAAAGCTGCAGAGCGAGACGTCCAGCTGAAAGAGCAGGACATGTTATGTTTGAGTTGTGTTGAGTTTATGTTTGCGCTGTGTTTTAAGTTTAAATAAAGATGTTGCTGAGTTACGAATGGTTCGACTATACAGCTCTGTCACCGTTTGAGTCTCTGCATCTCTCTTTTCCCTGTGTGACTTTTTTGAGGCAGCTCTGCTGCTGCCTTTTTGAGCATGAGGATCAAACAGCTAACAGCTCTCACCTGCACTGATCGATCCTCTGTGGTGCAGGTGAAGGTGCTCTCCCAGCCCCTTCACCTCCACAATCACTATTTTCATTTCTTTTCTTTTTAGACTAACTGGGATCTGGAGATATTTTCTTTTAATTAGGATGAGCATGATCTCAATGTTTGAAGAAGAAAATTGAAAGGCATATTAAACATTTGATGTAACAATGGTATTGAAATCGAAGCCCAAAAGGTGGTTGGGGAGGTTGAGCAGGTCACAGAGTTGGCTTGACCTGCTCCTGTTCACATGTTGAAAAACCACTACAACTATCTTGGAGAAGTGTATTTGTGAGTTGGTACATGAGTTGGCCCAAGAACAGGCTTAAATTAATAGACTTCTGTCCCCTGCCTGCTGGTAATGAAACTGTAAACTGGCTTTGGCTAAAGTTTAGCATTTTTTTGCTAATGTGAATATTCAGAGAGTCGTTTGGATATAAACATTAAAATGGTTCAGGTTGTGAGAAAGTGGTGTGGTGTCTGAAATGCTATGTGTAGTCCTCCCCATAAAAGAAATGTATCTGTGGGTTTGAGGTCCACAGCTCCTGAGGAATTTGGAGAAAGCCTGAATGTATGGTAGGGCATTAGGTCACAGTTCTAAGGGGTACACTAAATTTGAGCTAGTGTCTTCTCTCTTCTTGTCACCGGACAACCGAGAAGAGCTGGATGGAAACCAGATGTGTTTTCTTTAAAATAAAGAAAAAAACACTCCTATATAAACGAGGAGTTGAAGTTGCCCCCTTAGAAGAGATTCACATTGGCTCCGAATCTCTCTCCAGGCAGGAGAGATGCACATTGACCCTGGATCTCTCCATATGCAGATTGCATTGCTTGTATTGATGCTGAACTTTTTTCTAATAAACATTTTATACAATTAAGACGGTGTCATCGGAGATTCCTTCATCATCTTCACATCATTGCAACCCCAATATGCCATCGGACCTCATCTCAGGTAAGGATATCCTCTCATTAACTGTGAAACACGGGTTTCAGATGTTGCCAATTATACCTTACATTTTGCTGTAAGATTCCCCATCCATGTTGAGAATTGCATATTTAAGGTGTGTGTGTGTGTGCGTGCGTGTGTATAAACTATTACTAATGCAGTTCCGACTTTGCATGCCTCTGCCATACACAGGTCGATGTATTTTTATTTTTTTTACCACAAGTCGGTTGTTCTCATCTTCAGTAGGAGTCACTTTTGCAGAGGGGGGTGTCAGGGTCACACCAGCAGTGAAGGGCGTTTGTATCCAGTCGTTGCTCAGGCAAAGGAAAATAATCCACATCTTCATCTTGGCTACATACTTTTGGGTGAAATTTAAAAGGAATCTTCTGTGCTCTCAGCCAATTTTAATCCACTTTTCATCCCTGCAGTGCAACAAAACAAACACAATAAAATATGGCATTAACTTTAAGTCAATTCAGGCACTAGAACAAGTACAAATTATTAAAGCAGAAAACAACACTCAATAATTCTATACAGTGATTTTCAGCAGTAAATGTCCACCCTGGACCCTGGTCACACAAAACCAAGTCTATAGCTTTTTCAAGAGCTCTCAGCCAAATCTAACAATACTAATCAGCTGATGGAAACTGCTCAGTTATACAGATGGTTCTGCTTTGATTGTGGGACTGTCCCTCACACCCACAAGCATAGAAGACTAACAAGAGAATACGAGCAGAGAGCTATTGATCCTCCAAATAAACTCTGTCCCATAAGCAAACACCAGAGTATCTGCATCACATAAGTGACAAAATACATAAATAAAAACAAAATAAATAAATAACCATTTGTTCTTAAACCAGTGTTGTCAAGGCCTTGCTGCAGGATGTACTGTATATCATTTGTGCACACATTCTCTTTCTGGTCTTTTCATATTGGTCATTATCACCTTCCTTTCATTAACACAAATGACACATTTTTCAGTGGGGTTTTATCCACAATTCATTCACTAACACTAGAAAAGACAGAACTCACATGTCATTTTAATAAGGTCAGATGACTATATAGTCTTTAATTTTATTCTGCAGTTTCACAAAAAGACATCATGACATTCAGTGTCACAATAGCATGAATGTGTTAAAGCAGTCAGTACACGTTTACAGGAAATATTCAAGATGCAATCAGAAGATGGAAGTGAATTACCATAAAATGTAGGGGGGCTGTGAACTGTTGTGCAGGACACTGGTAGATGTAAGCATGTGTGTCAGTAGGAGGAGCTTTTATTTAATTAAGTTAGTGGATGTACCATTTCAGTTAAAGCATAGGACAGAAAATAAGGGAGGGAGAATGAATGGAGGATAAGGACAGTGAGTAATGACATTAAAGCAGCAAAAAGAGAGAAAACAAAAGAGACCTATCAAACTTTGTGAATTATTTTTGTTTGATATGCTAAACTTACTAAGAGATTATTGAGTGTTCATACGGTTTCGTTTGTTTTTGTTAATATATAAAGGGAGATTCATCTTTTTGCAGGACCTCTAACACATTTAAAGAATTGTACACATTGTATGATAAGTACAGGACCTCTGAAGGGTAGTAGTGGAAGTTAATATGTTGGTCCAGACCAGTTGTCATACACTGCCAGTTCAGGGACAACTTTCTCCAGTTACTAAACAATAGAAAGGAGAGAAACGGTGACACTTCACACGATGAAATTTATTGGTCATTCCTGTAAAAGGCTGAGCTGGCTGTAGTCCAGCTGAAGCTGTGGTTATTGGTTATATTCAAAGTGTAATCCATATATTCTGACCATTATTCAAAATACTCAGACATATAGTGTTATTGATATACATTTAATAATAATATTCATACTAATAATATATATGATAATATATAATATCCAAAACAGATTTACTTTCTGCAACGTTTACTTTCTCTTTTTCCAATAACAAAAACAATAAAACAAGTCTACACAGCAAACTGCATTTGCATCACTGCTTGAAGCTGCACAGTAATTCTGATTATATTAGCCCTGACACATAGATAATTAGAATCTCACATCTTTCACTCCAACACACACATCAGATTAGCTTTGTGGGACGTAAAATTGAGAACATTTAGTCCAAACAGACTGCAAACAACCTTAGCCCAATACTAGAGCACGTTACAAGTTTAATTGAAACTAAACATTAAAATGAAGTGTTTCTACGCTTACCTTCCTCTTCTTTCTGTGTGTCCGTTCTCCCTCTCTTTCTCTTTGGATCTGGCACAAGAGGAACAGATGGGTCCTTTCTCTTCTCTTGCTTCTTCCCTCAAAGCCCTGCTCCTAACCCCCACTTCCCAGCCCCCACCCTCTGCCACAATGCCGTGATATCCCAAGATTTGTGTCACTGTTTTTCTGTTAGCTCCAAATTCACAACGAAAAAATAATTAATTAATTCTTTGTTATTCCTCTGTTCTTAAATCAAAACATTCAGTTCCAACATTCGATTTTCTGAACTTGAAATCCTGCCTTTGACCCTGGGAGGATTAGTGTGTTGAATGGGTGTGTGCGCATCTTATCTTGCGTGCAACATCTGCATGTAAATCTATGTGATCTCTAATGATCACATGAAAATTTTACTCAAAATCCTCTTAGGATGAGGATTGGAAAAACTAATGAAAACAGATTTGTGTCTCATTCTCACTATTAGGGTCAACATGACCTCTCTCTCTAATTTCAAATGATATCCCCTCTACTAAACTCTGAACTAAACTACATCCCATTAAATGCACAAGAACATAAAGTGGGATAACCTTTTGGAATGATTCATAGCAGCATAATAAAAACTATGATGAACTTATATATTTTCCATAATCCTTTTGACTGATGTGTCAATACTATATTTTCTTTCTGTTTCAAATTAGCTGATGCAACTAACCATTGTGATCATTAATTTCAGTCTAATCAGATCTTTGATCAGGGACTAACACGTCCATAGCTGTTGTTGAACCAGATTCAGTGACAAAGCTTTCTCTGTGCTGGTCACATTTGTTGGGATTTTTTTTTTTTTTATAGGAAATTTATAGTGATCACCTTTCTCTGTCCCCCTTCGTCCTTATACGCTGTCTCTATTCTTTCCTTCGTCCCTTTCAGACCTGCTCCTTTCCACAATATGTACCTCTCCTCACATCCCTGCCAACTCAAACACCTAAACACAGCTGCCTCAATATCCATGTATATCTGAGAGATAATTGATAAGTTTGTGGTCGAAAGCAGAAGATGAGTTACACAGCTTTTGTTAAATGCACATGCAATTAAACTCTTAGAGTGACTACACACAAAGTGAATAACTTTAATGTGATTTTTGGTGGCAACACTCAGGGAGGATGCTCTTTCCTACATAATACTGAAAACGCCAGCCACTGTCCCCATACTGGATACTACTTCCTGGAGGTGAACCAGGAAACAAATGCTGCTACAGTAATAGGGTCACTTCAAAATTACAGATTGACTGTCTCATCATGCATTGTTTAATTTGGTCATGTGCTCTAGATTGCTTTTTAGTCCTGGTCATGACAAATCAAGTAGCTGTATTGCAATTTATTTTCCCCACCATCTTGAAAGTGCAATGAATCCAAGCCTGGTAACATCAATAAGTCAATCAATACAGTTTATTTGTATTGCACCTTTCAAACAAATCAAATGCAAAGTGCTTTGCAGATAGGTTAGGGTGTTAAAAATTAATAAAAAGATGTATACATACCAAAGCAATCAATAATAGAAAAGGCAACAACTAAATAATGTTAAGACAACAACAAAATGTTAAAAATAAGAAAAAACATACATTAAAACAGCATCATCATCATTAAACCTAAATGTGTTTTCAGATAGATTATTTTTGTTGTCAAGTATTTATTTCTATGTACTGCTAGATAATATATTGCCATTTATTACTATCTATTATGCTGGTTGTAACCTCAGTCAGATAAACCCACCGTTCACTATCTGCTAAACACGAAAAACCATTTAGCAAATAGAAATGAAATGGGTCCCTCTTTCACCATGACAACAGGCTACTTCCTCATGAATGCAGCTGCTGGGGGGGGATCAAAGGTTACTTTGGGGTAACGGACAATGGATGTTGGGTGATGCATGGGTGGGGTGGTACATATGTGAATTGAACTGGTTGTCTGGGACTATGTGGGCCAAGCCTGCTGTTGTCCACAACAGCAAAAATGCTCTTTCTGGTGAGCAGTGTGTCTCTATGTGTCCTCTATGAAGTCCTGCCCACATGGGGTTCCTCCGGACATATCCTCATTCAAATTTGACAGAGGGTTAAGGGCAGAGAATGTCACAGCTTGTTAAAGCCCTATGAGACAAATTGTGATTTGTGAATATGGGCTAGACAAATAAAATTTGATTGATTGATTGAGACAGGGTTTTAAAGACCAATGCTTACTTACAAAATACCTTTATTGGCAGTTTGGTTTATACTCAACATTTTGTAACAATGTATTATATATAACTCTTCCTGTTATACATTAATAATAAGTTTAGGTCACTGATACAACTACTTCTATTTTGGGATGCAGTATCTGTGAGACTGTGGGTAGGTGATGATGGTATATATCTGTAAAACAAAAGTCTACTGTGCTGCATGATAATGTTACTGACATTGATGTTGTTGTGAGGAAGCTGACCTGTTAGTGACTGGTGATCAGATAATGGTAAACCACCAGACGAGCTATGGTTTGATGAGAAAAGAGGTCAAGGCTCCCAATCTACAAAGAGAGCAGTGTAAAACTGTGATTGTTAATGTGGATGTTCAGGATCTCAGTTATAAAACAACAGCAGACACATACAGGCAAAGAGTCCTGGGCCTGTCTAGTTACGAGGCACATCATCCTCATACATTCAGGAAATGAGGTGAGGTGATTGCTAATAGCTTAGTTCTGTTCATAACAAGACAGATTACATGTTGACGAGATAACAAACAACTGTACAGATGAATTATGTAATTCATTGAAAGGGTTGAAAGTACAGGAAAGGAAATTGGTTGCACCAATTTATTTTGAGAAAGAAGGATTTAATGACCATAATGTAACAGTGGGTTTGCAAAAAAAATGTATTACTTGGAAATCTAACTATTGTTTGTATGAGGAGAAATTACATGTCATGTTACATATTTACATTTAAGGGTTGAATGGTTTCAATTTTAAACAGAACCCCACAACTGTTTTAGCTATAAGAAATAATTCAGACATGTTTTATCATGCTTTTTCTTCCAAATAAAGACACAAGATTTAGCTCAAGAACATTAAAAAATAAACATTTGTACTGTGCCTCCAGTGGTTATCAGACTGTAAATGATTTGTATTTATATAGCGCTTTTCTAGTCTTGATGACCACTCAAAGCACTTTACAGTACAGTTTTTTTTTGCCATTCACCCATTCAGAAAGTGCAACTTTTGCCAGCACTTTTTTCTATGAGGGGTAATTTGGCGTTCAATCTCTTCCCCACAGACAATTTGGCATGCGGATGGGGAAGACTGGGATTGAACTGCTGGTCTTTTGGAAACAGAACGACCACTCTACCCCTCAGGCGCAGCCTCCCAGTCTGATGGAGAGGAAATAACACACTCTCACTGACCTCAGACTGAAAGATACCTGACCACACTGTTAGATCACACAGTGAGACCCACCCTGTGATGCAGGTAATGTTAATCAACTGCAGTAGCCTATCATGTGTTGCATTGAAGTCACTATACAAAGCTGGAACTGTGATTCACTGAAGATACATGGAAACGTCTGTACATAACTACACAGAAAAGGATATTAACCACCATGGAAGGTTTACTGATCAGGCCTACAGGGCCATGGGGCTGAGTCAGAGCTTTTTTCTTAAGTAACTGTAAACAGTCGTGGAGACACTAAACTACCACAGAGGTGCAACAAGAACATGAATATAGATAATAATGACTAAAAAGAGAAACAGAAGCCAATTCATTTATCACAAGATTGTATAATGAAATTACAGATTCAGGACTCTTTATGCTACTCACAACAAAGTTTGAGAAGGACATTTTATTGTCACTGTATTTTGGACATTTATACCATGGATATTTGGTCGGACAAGAAGGTGCAGATGATCCATCCTTAAATAATAAATTGATAAATTGATTACTCTTTTTAGGAGTGATGTGTGTTGTGGAAAACCTGCTGATCAATGGTCACCTCATCAATGAAGAAAGCGTTCAGGAGCCCTTTGATGTCTTATGCTGAAATATTTATTGAAGCTTGGCCAAGGAGAAAATCAGAATTCATCCATACAACGTCTGTGCATGATGCTCTCTCATATTCTGAAGTCTGCTTTCCTTCAGTCACACTTTAAACCCCAACAGATTATTTAATCTATGGGTGTGCTAGCTAACAATCAAATGTATTTTCTAGTTATGTAAACAGTAGTGCCTGCTTACGCAGACTCATATCTGTGATGTCTAGGGAGTGGAGGCTTTGACCTTTGCCAAGCTCTCGCACTTCCCAAACACAACAGCCTGTTGCACTCTGCCCCAGAGAGGACAAGAGACAGTGTCTATGAAAATTCCATAACAATGTGGGTATGAGGTCGAAAGGGCTTGAAGAGGAGCGTATGTGCAACACAGTGTCGATGAAATCAGGAAATGAAACTTGGTGAAAGTTGCTAAGTAGAATGGGACGGGCAGGATTCTCTGCAATATATGGTGCAGTGTTGGTTCTAATGTCATGGATTTTTTGCTTAAAGAAAGATAAAAACTTTTCACAGTCGGTATGTGAAGTGGCCAGAAGGGCAGAAGGAGCAGGGTTTATAAATCTAATGATGGTTTTAAAAAGGAATCTAGGATTATGGTGATTATTAGATTATTAGTTTGGAGAAATAGTTTGCTGCGGTTTTACTTTTGATATCATAAGAATTAAGAGGTCTTTTATATTGAAGTAGTGGTGATTTCAATGAGAGTGAACAAGTTGAAGGACCGGTATGTTTAGTGTGTGGTGAGGTGGAGTCACCACTGTCAGTCTGTGCTTCCCCTCCTCTAACGTCACCTTTGTCTACCTGCACACATCACATCACCTGCTCACAAATCACCGCTTTAAAACAGAACGACTCTCAGTGAGAAATAAGATGAGTGTTTACTCCCTGAGGTTTAAATGTCTGCTGGCTTTTTTCTGTTTTGTGTCATTTACTTGGATTAAATCTATTCACCGTGATGTAGGTAAGTTGCCAGTGTACCAGTGCGTAACTTGCAGCATAACTATAGAAGAAACTATTGTCAGTCACTGTATGTGAAGCAAGGTTAAAGGTGTTGATGCTCAGACAGGAATTCCACTGATGGAACCTCATGCTGTCAACTTGTATATTGAAGAATTGAAGAATATACTGAGCTCTGAGGTTTCTTTTTGCCTGAGACAAGTGGTTATAGATGGGCATGAAATTGTGGCAATGCAGCTTTGGAGACATCATCTGATATGACAATACTTTTCACCACAGGAATCAATCATGTTAACGGTTTAAAATAGCCTCACTGATGACATTAGGTGTGGGGCCATTTATACATTTAAATATTGTTTTCATGAAGCTTTAAAATTGTCCAAACGTAGCAAAAATGTTTTTTTTCTTGAAAAATAATCTTGAAAGTTAAAATATCAACAAATAAGTAAGTAAACTCCTGGGATGTACAAATGTCCCTTGACATGTATGACTGAAAGTAGTTCAACTTTAAGAGATGGAGTGACGCAGAGACAGTTATACCTACATTTTATACTTCTCTAGGCTTCTCCCTCAGCAACACTACAGCAATATACTACCTCTAAATAAGCTGGAGACAGAGTCAGAAAGCCATTTAGCATGCAGTGAGAATTGTGTTTAATAGTTTCAACAATTTGAATGTTTTTCTCACTGTCTCCAGATTCAAATATGCTGCAAGATCTGCAGAACCTGTATAAGCGTATGTTGGTGGCTGAGGAGTTGGGAGGGCAGGTCAGAAGCAATCTCAGCAGCATCCTGGAGCATTTGAGGAATTTGTCCGAAGCTGCCAATCACACCCACCCCACCATCTCCAGCACCACCACCATCATCTCCACAGGTATGCAAGGCTGGATGGAGAGAATAAAATCTCTTTAACTTAATCTCATGGCCATAGAATTTATTTTATTTACAATGGACTATTTATTTGCCTGTGGTAAAACTGGTTGCAATTAAAAAAATAATGAAGCCTAGAACCAGGTATGGATCATTACATTAACCAGGTATGCCCCAGGTATGGACCATCTGACCATACCTGACAATAACTTCTCAGTGAGAGAGAGAGAGAGAGAGAGAGAGATATTCATTCATTCAGATCACCCTGACTGTGCTTGCTTTTATCTCAAACAAACTGGATTTAACTCAAACCTAAACAAATGAATGAATGAAAAAAAGTCCACATACTTAAGTACTGGGGTGGGATTAATTGGCATATGACTTACAATTTAGAAATATGGCTATGTTGCATACCCCACTCAATTCAATCGATAAGAGGCTCAAGCTTAAAATGGAGCTAACAGTTATGTTAAAGGGATAGTTCACACCCAAATGAAAATTCAGTCATTATCTACTTCCTACTAACAAGGACGAGTTTACTTCTCTCACTGAACAAGAGAAAGTGGAGAACAAAGAGAAAAGGAGTGTATAAGCTGTTTATTTGTTAATATAGGGGACACTCAAACTATTTCTAAACTGTTTTATTTTCTAAAATAAAGCACTTTATTTTAAGATGCATTTTTCAAAAGTTTTTGATTTTGATTTTAAATGCAAACCTTAATTTACATTGCAAACCTTTATTTACTTGAAATTAAATAAAATATTTCATTATTATTTTATTATTAGAGTACCCTCTAGTTCAATGTGAAAATGTGTTATAAACTATTGAAATGTACTTTCTTTATTTAATTTGACAGTTTTTTACTTATTGATACAACTACTAGACTACTTCAAAATATATGGCACTGAATCATAACACATTTTAGACATGTTTCAGACTTTTGCTTGAGGAAATTCTCTAACTGGACCTCTTTGAATTTTAATTGAATACCCCTGATTTAAAGTGTGGGAGTTTTTAGTCAGAGACCAGTTTTCATTAAGATGTTGTTGGACAGCTTAATGTAGATTGTTATATTCCTTTTACTTGAATGGAACAAGCTAATTTTATTTAGGAGAGATTTTCTATGGGACTATAAAAGACTGATTAGCAGTTCAGACTGGGCTGTTTTTTGTTGTGGAATAGTGCCTTGCAGTGCATACTTTGTTTTTTGTCATATGTGTTTGTATTTGAGAGACGATGATTGAATAGATATTTATGACACAAGTTTTAAAATAGTGTTTTTGATCAATTCATTATTATATGAATCGAGTAATAAAAAAAGTTGTTAGATTAATCGGTACAAACATTATAGATAGCTGCAGCCCTACTGTTGACTGTGATGCCAGTGATAAGGTCAACTATATACAAAGAGAAAGCCAGGGAAATTTCCCTGCTCTAAATGCAAATAATCCTGATTGTCATTTGTGTATACAAGGACCAGTCTGAATTTACAGATGACAGTGTTTGGTTTGTGTGTGTGTGTGTGTGTGTGTGTGGGTGTGTCTGTGTATCTCAGTATGAGCAAGTGAGATCTTCTTTGGGCAGACATTTTGCCCTTCTGCTCTTCTGAGTAGCAAACCTCTCGATGACCCTTTAATTGAAGTCAGGAATGTTTCTGATACGTTTTTTTACGTTACAGTTTCTCCTGGTAGACAGACGTTACTTCAGCCCAACATTTACCTCTACCTGCCTCACCTCAAACAACATCCGGACAGCCTCATTCCCAACATAGTCCTGGGTCGGGGGCGCAATGGAGGTATGGAGCACTCTCCCATAAACACAAATACACCCATAAAAACACACACCTTTACCGAGGCTCTTTGCAGTCAGCGTCTCTCAAAACCTTATCCGAGTATTATTTGAATATGTTACATAAATGTAACGTCCTGATACTGTCACATGAAGACCAAGTAGAATGCTGCAAAGTCTAGATGGAAAGAAAGAGAGTTATGTCAGATAATAATGATTGACAGTTAAGACAGAGAGAAATTTTGAATTCTATTCTGAATTTAACATAGAGCCAATGAAGAGACGCGAAGACAGGTGTGTTGATCACTGTTGTTTTCTCTCTCCTAATCTGTATACATGTGTCTCTGTCTGCTCCCAGTATCCATGGTGCTGGGTATTCCGACAGTGAAGCGTGATAAACAGAGTTACCTGGTCAACACACTCAACTCTCTACTCTACAGTCTGACTTTCTCGCAACGCCAAGATCTCCTCATCATCGTCTTTGTTGCTGAGGTCACACAAATACTCACACACACAAGGACACAATTTGACTCAGTGGCTGTGTGCATGTGTGTGTGTGTGTGTGTGTGTGAGTGTGTGTTTGTGCGTGTCTGTGTGTCTGTGTGTGTGTGTGTATATTAATATTGTGGTAGTGGTCACAAATAAATCATTTTCATTATAAAACTGTAGCAGGACAGGTGATGTCAACTCAGTAGGGAGTGTAATAATCTGGCCAAGGGCACATTAGATAGATGTTAAGGCTTAATTTCATTTAAATTGTCATTTATTGTAGTTATGCAACATTAACTACAATAATATAATTGTCACTTATAATGCTTTTTCACTTTCTGTATACCTTTATAAACTATGGGTATGAAAGCAACTCAATCTGGTGTAGGCAAAAAGAGAATGGTAAACACATTTACCCATCCAAACCTGTCCAACTACTTTGTAGAACATGATACGTGATATGCCACTTCACAATGTGTGTGTGTGTGTGTGTGTGTGTGTGTGTGTGTGTGTGTGTGTTTAATCCCACTGGCAGTCAGGAATTAATGAAACTGAACACATGATACTACACAATAAGCTGAAATGATAGGATACCCTAACTGAGAAAGAACCTCAATCCACTGGACAGGTGCAACACACTGATGACTGATCAGTTAATCAGGGTGGAGCTAGAGGAGAGACAAGAGAAAAACAGGGACACAGTACAGGAAACACATACAGCTGTAACACCACATCACAAAAATATCACTGACATTCTCTTTTTTATCCCCCCTGTCATGTCAGATGGACTCAAACTATGTGGAAGGTGTAGCTGAGACCATCAGGAAGAAGTGAGTGTGTTTAGATTGCTTCCAATGAAGCAGTTCAACTATTATACCGGTTGGTTACTTTTGTTTAATGTCCTCCAATGTCAGTGATTAGTGACAGCAGCCTATATCAGTGCCTATATCACAAAGTAGCACCTGTGAGAGGCCTCCCATCATGCATTTCAATCAATCAATCAAATGTATTTATAAAGCACGCAATCACAACAAACAGTTGTCTCAGGGTACTGCCCAAAAGTCCAAGATCTTAAAAGGACATAATTCCAACTTGTTCCACACCGAGCAAGCATGAGCAACAGCGGGGAGGAAAAACTCCCAGGTGAAAGAAACCTCCGGCAGAACCGGGCTCGGTGTGGACGGCCTCTGCCAGGACCGGTTGGGGTGAGTGGAAAAAAAAAATAGGGGAACAAAAGGAAATAAAGGGGGGGGGGGTGGAGTCACAGTCTCAGGTCATGGGCTTGAATCAAGCCCGGGAATCTCCATGTGGACGTTGGCATGGTCTTCCAAGGGCGCATTGGTCCCCCCGGGCACTCTTGCCTCCCTCATGGTCCGACATGCGCAGAAGGTGGACCCATGGCTCCAAAGCCCCATGGAGAATATCATTTGAGACTTGTAGAAGTGCTGACTCTGTGCTATGGTGCATTCTAAATCCAGACTGATAGGCCTCCTGCAGGTCATTTCTCTGGAGGTGATCGAGCAGCTGATTACAACGGCTCTTTCTAAAAGTTTTGAAGTAAAGGGGAGGTTTGATATAGGTCTGTAATTTGCAAAGATACCTGCATCTAAGCTAGGCTTCTTTAGCAGAGGCTTAATTACTGCTAGTTTAAAAGCCTGTGGTACATAGCCAGTTAATAAAGAGCTATTGATAAGATTCAATACAGTGCTGCCGACTTCTAGGAAAGCCTCTTTCAAGAGCTGAGTAGGGATGGGTCCAGCAAGCAGGTTGAAGTTTTAGAGGATGAAACTAAAGAAGATAACTGTGAAAGGGTGATCTGGGAGAACTGATCTAACCGTGAGTCTAGGTCTACACTTTTTTCATAGATGACAGTTTGTGAGTGTTTAGGGAATAAAGGGGAATTTTTTCTCTCTGATAGTTTGAATTGTATCAGTGAAGAAGTGAATAAAATCGTTGCTGCTCAATGACAATGGGATTTTTGGTTCAATAGAGCTTTGGCTCTTGGTCAGAGAAACCTGGGGTTGTTCTTATTGTCCTCTATTAGTCTAGAGTAATATGAGGTTCTGGCACGTTGAAGAGCTTTTTTAAACACTTCAAGGCTACTCCTCCAGGAAGTAAAATAAACTTCAAACTTCCTCTCTAACCTCCGTGTTGCCTGTTTTAGGGTCCGAGTTTCAGAAGTAAACCACGGAATGAACCTCCTCTGATGAATTAACTTCTTTTTCAGAGGAGCAATACTATCAAGGACAGTTTGAAGTCCTGACGTTGTACTATCCACGAGGTTGACACGATTATCACGCGTTTCATTTACGCATGGCTGCAGAATAGAAGGAATTATCTCCTTGAATTTATCAATTGTGTTATTGGACAGTAACCGACTATGGGAGAATTTTTGACTCACCTGAGCACAGTTGCTAGTCATAAATTGAAATGAGTGAAGGAAATGATCTGATAATAAAGGGTTGGAATCACACACTACTAGATTCTCAACAATCAATGCCATGTGTCAGTATAAGGTCTAAGGTGTGGTTTAAGTTATGAGTTGGTTTATCTACGTGCTGAAACCAAATGAATCTATCAGAGAATTAAACGCACCTCTAAGGCTATCATTGGCTTCATCAACATGAATGTTAAAGTCAACCATGATGATGATTTTATCTGCACTAAGGACTAGTTCTGACAGAAATTCTGCAAATTCATATAGAAACTCTGTGGAAGCAGCGAGCGGGCTTTTCCCCTTGCTCACTCTGAGTTTCATGTATTCATAAATCTGTGTGACAGAAATCTTGACCGTTATTACAACTGAATTTACCAGGCCGATTCTAAGGCCACAAACTGAGTGTTCAGTCAGACCTAGAATTAACTTGTCATTTGTGACTGGATATGTTATCTGGACAATAGCATCTGACTAAGACCATTGAACCTCCACTTGGTAATAATGAGGATGGTAGATTTTTTATATCTACATGTTTATAGGGCAGATGGAGCTGATTGAGTTGTTAACAAACAAAGGCATGAGACAGATTTTAAATAATTTTAAAATATCCTGTTTTTAAGGAGTGTAAACCTACTATCCCAAAGCAATAGGCCAGTAGACCATGTACAATTTCGCAGATGATGTCTGTTCATGGAGAATACAATTCTGCAGTTAAACGTGTCTTTATTTATAGTTTTCCCAAGGATGTGCAATCAGGGTTACTGGAGGTGATCTATCCTTCACAGTACTACTACCCCGACTTCACCAGCCTAAGAGAGACCTTAGGAGACTCCAAGGACAGAGTCAAGTATGTTTACCATTTCTTGAATTGAATTGTTGATTCTGTTAACTTTGATATATCTTTATTCTCATTCATGTCCTATTTGTATTGGTTTCTGCTGTGTTAGGATAATTTACATCACATCACCTTCACTAGTAAAGGGAGAAGAAATTAGTGTATTCATTATATAAATAAGATTTTCAAGAAAATAAACACAAATTTTGTACTGAACATTTTGAACATTGTGGGTAATGCCTTGTCTCTTCTTAGATGGCGAGTTAAGCAGAATCTGGACTTCTGCTTTCTCATGCTATATGCTCAGGACAGAGGAACCTACTATGTTCAGGTAGGGGTCAAAGGTCAGAGTTTACCTGCTGATATTAGTTGGTTCCCATACTTACATGAATACAATTCATTTCTCTAGTTTCTCAGGGCAGAGTATGCTTTTCTACCTACGAAATGTCTTAGTCACCAAATGGCATGTCAACCTGGCAAGTGGCATTTCAGGTTGGCTGCCAGTTTCTACACCCACTTCCGGGCAAGAATTTTTGGACACATAAGCTTTAATGTCTCCATGGTGCTAATGTGGCTCTGGCAAATATACAGACTTTGGTTGTCATTTTGGCATGTGTAATGGAAAATTATAGAATCATACTATACTATGTATTATCTGCTTATGCATGTGTGACCCCAGGCCCAGGCAAGGGCTGGATTTAGTTCCAGTTTTATAGTGTTTCGACCCTTTATGCTGATTCCAACCAACTAGAGGCCCACAGATCTTTTATAATTATAAAGATGGACCCAGGATTATAACCATTTATTTATCAACTAACAATTTAAACAAGATATTGAAACAGAAAATGCATTCCATACGTAGACTTAAAATTGTAAAAAAAAAAAAAATACATATATGTATATATAAAATACTGAACAGGGCAAGGGGAGTGCTAAAGGGTGATTTGGCTGTAGCCACTTGACAATTAGGACGAAGTGAAACTGGGATGGAGGGAGTTTTTCGCTCACAGTCGCCAAAGTGCTGCTCAATGTGGGAACTGTTGGGTTTCTCTATATTAATACGATTTTAAGGTCTTGACCTTTTATGTAAAGTGCCTTGAGATAATGTATATATTATGATTTAGCGCTATACAAGTACAATTTAGTTGAATCAAAGTATCAATATTTACAGCCTCTGCACACCCACAGTGTTTTCAATGACAATAGCTAATTGCTGATGATGTCACAAAACTGTATGTACCATGTACCAAATGGGAGAGCTGTCAATCAAACAATTTGCCCACACCCACATAGTCCTGAGAAGAGTGGGATTTAATCAACGGCATTTTCATGCAGACTTTTTTTTATTGGTGGCAGGAGTTGTTGTTGCATATATTAAATGTTAAAAAGTTTAAATGTTAAACTTTTTTAAGCATTTTAATAGTGAAGTAATCAAATTCTACTTAATGATTTTTTTTTTAAAATAAGTTCTTTTTGTGTGTGTTTTCCAGTTAGAGGATGATGTTATTGCGAAGGCAAGCTACTACAATGAAATGAAGACCTTTGCCTCTAAGATAGTTTCAACACCATGGCTCTACCTGGAGTTCTCCCAGCTTGGATTTATAGGTGTGTGTCTCTGTGTGTTTATGACAACGCTTGTACATTTTGAAATTTAAATCCCCTCTCAGCAATTTACAAACACAATCTATTTGAACTATGAGCTATAGTTATGTTCTCCTTCATGCACAACAGTACATGAAGGAGAGTGTAATGAAAGTGTAAATTAACACATACTCAATGGAATTGAAAGGTGATCATTTGAGTGATGATGGCAGATAATATATCAAAATAGGACTGTGAGTGAATGAATTAGTGAATTAATCTACAAAGGTAGATTTAAAGATTATAATTCTGGTAATGACGTCAACCCAGTCAATAATAGCAGAATCCAATTAGTGGTCTGAGCCTGGTTGCTGCTGTGCTGTGGAGCTCCTCAGCCTCAGGGGCTGCAGGCCAGGTGGGTTTCAGTCCGTTGTTAAGCAGTGAGTGCAGCCAGCAGGTCTTCGAATGAGACTGTTGGTGCAGGCCTGCAGTCAGTGTATTTCTGACGGGCTGCTGTTGGAACCGGTGCTGACTAATTAAGCTCAATTCTCGATTGGCATTGGTTGTACAATCCAAAATTTCAAAAATTATTTAAATAAAGTTGTTTAGAAAGATTAACAATAAGAGCATTTGGTGCACTGTTCTCTTGATCAGCTTGCTATAGATTTGGCTCAAAGAAAAGAAAATATTACATACGAAATTACATACGAGCACTTGCAAACTCGGGACCTGATGCAGCCGGGGGGGAAAAAATGGCAAAACAGCTCAGTGTTGCGTGTATTTTGCGCACCACGGGAAGTATAAACACTTCACTTCCTGTGTCTGTCACGCAACGCCAAACCACGCCCACCAATCATGCATCATGGTCCTCACCATCAAGTGCTGTTGTCTGTTGTCATGTAGTTTGAGGTACATTGAACAATGTACATTGAAGTTATAAAATGTTTGTGTGTCACGGCGACTTGTTGAAATTTGATGCCACGCCACTAACGTGGTGTTCGATGAAAACTCACAGTTTCCATATGCCTACATCATCAATGTCTTGAGGCCCTTCTGACAAAATTTGACAAGATTAATCGTTACACTCTACCATCTACTCTCTCCATATTTGCATGTCTATGAGCCCTTTGTGTGTGTGTGGGTTAAAAACTGCATGTATAAAAATGAGTATAAAAAGAATTTGCGGGAGGGAGGGATCAATAAAGTATCTCTTCTTCTTCTTCTTAGACCTGCTCTCACTTTAACTAATAATCTCTCATCAGTCATCAGGAACTGATTAGTACAATAAGTAACTTTGAACTCGTTCGTTTGAATTGACACAACACTGCAAACAGCAATGCTGCTGCACAACAGTCAGCACCAAAAGAACAGAACTGTTCAAAGAAACTGTTCTTGCATGAGGCCCATTGTGTTTGTCTGTTTGTGATTTATCTGAAGACCAGATACAGTTTATGAACTAATAATGTAGAAAACCAGGTCATTCCAGAGGTTTCACATGAAGTGGTGTACATATCCACATATTGATAACGTGTGTGAGTGTGTGTGTGTGTGCGTGTTTCTGTATGTCTGTCTGTCAGGGAAGATGTTTCAGACTCGTGACCTCCCGATGATTGCTGAGTTTTTCCTGATGTTCCATAGAGACAAACCCATTGACTGGCTGTTGGATCATATTCTGTGGGTGAAAGTTTGCAACCCAGAGAAAGATGAGGTGAGTACGTAGTGCCAAGAGGTGAAAGTACATCACACGTGTATTTTGGATGATGAACTGATCAGCGGGGAGATTTTATACAATATGGAGGTGCTCTGGGCCAAAGCCAATCTAATATTTGGTTTAAGATATAAGAAAACCTTATCTGTATCTTAGAGGGGAATTTATTCAGCAACCGACAAAACCAACAAAGTTTTGCATCTGCATGTGAGAGACAAAGAGAGATTTGTGTTCACACTGCTTAAAGAGTACATCCTCTCTGTGCCTTGGATGAGTTCACACCTTAACTTAGAATTTAGATGTTAATACCTGGACTTAACAGAGTCTTATTGTTACCAGTCTAATACAAATGTACAGTCTACTTCCTGTAGTACCGTCCTGATGTATCAGAGGCTGTAGTTTCGTAGTTTGGATTACTTCAGTTTACGGTTTCAGGGAGTTACAGAATGTGATTGAACGCACACATAATGAAAATAAACTGAGATGACAAATACTCTAAGAAACCAACTTAGATTAGACATTATTATATATTATATTAATATATAGGGTTACATATTATGATTATTATATGTACATATATACTGGTAGAACAGTAAAACTGTTTAATTCTTGAACTATCTTCAGCTTTGCTCATGACTCTATTATTCACGTCATAAACAAGTAGATCCTAAATCATATAATGCTGCTTAATTATCTCAATTATTTTTCTAAAAGGTTCATAACAGAAATAAAATGGACATAAATATTTGAGGAGTTTCTGTATGTTGGTACAACACCCCAATAAACTCTGTAGTATGCAATGTAGCGATCCACATGCCTGTGTGTTGTGTGATGTAGAAAGACTGCGATAAACAAAAGGCATTGCTCAGGCCGAGGTACGTTCCCTCACTCTTCCAGCATGTAGGCCTGCACTCCTCTCTACCTGGGAAACTCCAGCATCTGATGGTGAGTGTGTTACATTAGCTCAACATACACAACAGACAATTAATATTTGTTGGCTGTATTAGTTAAAGGTTAAGTGTGTAAGATTTAGGTGAAAGGGGGTGCAGCTCCTACCAAGCGTGTCAGTTCATGACCTAACAAACAATACACTCGAGTGACGAGAAACAGCAGCTACAACAAGGAAAGGCGTTACTGAGAGGCCAGCCAAACAGGTTTGGACACAGAGACGTTAGTTCACACACCCCAAACAATACACTGGAATGAGGAGTCACAGCCATCACAACCGGTAAAAGAGAAACAGAAAAATACAGATAAGGGGAACAGCAATCCAGGGAGGGTGCCCGAAGACAGGCGCCCAACTAAGTAACAGTAATTGGATACATTGTATGAGTGTGCTTTTACATACTCAACACCCAGATCGTCATACCTAACTCAGGGCAGAGATGAAACTGGCATCCTCAACTGGCTCCACGGCAACACAGGTCTTTTCTAGGGAAACTGAGAGGCATGACCGGGCAAGCCATTGTGTCTTCAGTAAATATCCTTGCACCTTGACAGTATTCCCTGTACATGAATATGCAACGGAGCAGAGAGATAGTCTCTCAATGATAGAGAAGCCTTACCAAACCCCGGACATGAACTCTTCAGGATTGACAGTAAACAGCCTTGTGAAATCTGTTTGGTATACACAGAACATTTTAGAACATTCAGAACATTGTTAAACTACACTTTGAATGTAGAATATTTGTAATACATAAAATACAGGTTCATTTAAATGTGTGTTTCAGTTCTGTGACATGACAATGCTTGACAAAATGTCTTTAAGTTGAAACTGACGTTGTGCTCTCTTTCTGCAAAGACTATTTTAAGATTTACTCCCAAAGTCTGAAAACATAATTTCTCACGTGAAGAATTTGGAGACTATTGTAATCACAACAGTGCAGTATTACACAAATTGTGGTCTTTTATAGACTTCAGGACTTTAAAGGTACAGTTTTTAGAATTTAGTGATATCTAGTGTTGAAATTGCATGTTGCAGCTGAACACCCCTCACCTCACCCTCTCCTTCTAAACATGAAAAATAACCATATAGTAGCTTAAGTTGTCATAAAAACTCAAAAGGTGTTTAGTTTGTCCAGTCTGGACTAATGTAAAAAACATGGCAAAGTATTTAAATATAAAGGGTCTTTTCTAGGCTAAAGAAAAATAAAATTCATACAATTTAGATGTAAAAAACTAGTGAAAACATCATGAGGATTATTCTACATTAAATTTCTGACAATAGATCCTTTTCACCTAAATCTTACACACTGGAGCTTTAAAGTAGCCATAATAACCATCGTCATATAGTCACTGTGATTGCTGACAACTTAATTACAAGACACATTCATAAATACCTCTCAGTTTGTGCGCATGTGTTATTGTCTTTTTGGCCTTCCAGGATAAAGAGTTTGGAAAGCAGATCCTGTACCAGCCCCATAAAAACCCAGCTGCAAAGTTGAGTAGCAGCCTGAAACAGTACCAGCATCACAGTCTGGACATGGCTTACAGAGGAGAAGGCTTCTTCTGGGCGTCAACGCCCATCCGGGGTGACTACATCCTCTTCAACTTCCTACAGCCTATCCACATATCTGGGTCAGTTTTGTTAATTTAATAACAAATAATTTCCTCTGTTGTGCATGAGGTTTTAATCCCACGCCATATACACATTAATTTTATTGCTGTCAATACTCAGATGTGTAACCCGGATGAGGGATAAGTGTAAAATATATTGGGATTTAAGGAATAGTTCACCAAAAAATGTCATTATCTACCCACCGCAATGCCGATGGAGGGTTGGGTGAAGTGTTTGAGTCCACCAAACACTTCTAGAGTCTCAGGGGTAAAAAGTGTTCCAGCAGAATCCAATACAATTTAAGTCAGTCGTGACCGCTTCTTCAGACGTGATAAAACCACAGAAAAAACATAACATGCCTCCTTACTGCTCACCGGGTGTCTTCCAAGTGTCCGCAAGCCCCGACATTCATATTCGGCTCGAAATGGCGTCATTTACACTGTGTTTTCCACCAGCGGATGTTAGGGACGTGATTTTAGTTTTGTACCTTAACGTGTTTTGCCCTTGGAATCAACAATACAGACTGACCATGATGGTACGCTGAGGTAAATCTGACTGTCTACTGGCTTGTATTGCAGTACTAAGTATTAAGCCATATGACCTGCTCAGTAGATCCAACATCATTACCTCTATGCCCATTTTTAAACTGAACCCCTTCTGTCACAGGCAGCAGAGTTTAAAGCTGTCCCATTTTAGAACATAGGACAAGATGGAGAATATCCCTTGTATGTTCTACCACACTAATTAAAATGCACCAGTTGATGTTAGCAAATGTTTGTGACTTCAGTTGTGTACCTTAGCGTCTTGTGGCCTAGTTGATGAAGGGCTTGTCCATGGACTCCCTTATCACTGAGCACCCTGATGGTGATGTAGCCAAACTCCACAGAGCAAACTATTGTTTTCCAGCCACGTTGCTAGATCCTTTGCCTCTCAGTTGCTTCATCAACAGCATCCGCTCATGGTACTGTCAATTCTGTGAAGTAGACAATACGCAGGGTGTTGGACCAGAGTATCAGGTCTGGTCTCAAGGTGGTAGTGACAATATGTGATGGCCCAAGTCCACCAACATCTCCCAGTCTCGCTTGCTCAAACTGACCACTGCTGGTCAATGAAGGGGGCCTTCTTTGTCTCTGTTCCCCCTCTCAGACAAATGTTCTTTGAACTGCAGTAATACTCTGCTTACTTTTTTGTAGTTTTCGGTTTGGTTCGTTTTCGTGACATTCCATTTGTGTTTGCAGAAAAGTGCTTCTGTGGGTTTTTCTTTAACAATGTGATGTGAAACATTACAAGATTTGAATACAGTTAATGAAACTACATTTTAATTTGACCTGTCTTTGTCATAATTTGATATAAGACAGTAAAAATTTGACTTTTTATTTTGGCTGTGTTGTACAGAAAGCAATGCAGTTTTAGTTTGTTTAGAATTAGTTTTGAATGATCTTGAAATGAATTTACTTTTGACCATATGTTATTTTAGGTCAATATCATATATAAAATAAGGCTCAAGGAATAAAGTATGAACTGTCAGCAAGTGTTGGGTTGGAGTCTTCATTCGTTGTTGGCAGAAGTTTTGGTCTCTAGCCTTTACTTTCTGAGAATTTATAGATTATATGACAGGTCTGAAAATGATATGTCACAATGTGATGCAGTATTTTAGATATATCCATCCTTTGCTCTCTTCTTTACCGTAGGTACCTGTTTCGCTGTGGAAACATTGAGACCATTGGAGATAAATTCCACAACACCACAGTAGAGGTTCTGCCCAGTAATGTAAGTAAACTTCATCCATGTATGTTCTTGTACTTACAGCTTTGTGAGGACCATTTTAAGCACAGACCCTACAGCGTGAGGACATTTTGGCAGGTCCTCACTTTTTCAATGGGCTGTTTGTGGATTAAGACTTGGTTTTAGGGTTAGGTTTGGGTTAGGATAAGGGTTTGGCATTTAGTTTAGATTGTTAAGGTTAGGGTAAGGTGAATGTATTGTGTCAATGAGTGTCCTCACTAAGCTAGAACTACAAACTAGCTCAATGTAAAACACAATGTAGTATTAGTTTGCTATTGCATATACTCCAGAAGGACATCTCATGGTTCCAGCAGCTTACCTACATACGTCAGTCTCATTCATGTGAACATATTTCAAGAGTGTCTTGAGGGAATATATTTAAATTTGGTACAATCATTAAGTTGGACTCAAGGATGAACTTATAAGAATATTTTGTTTGCCTTGTGAAGAGTATATCTCATGAACTAGTGAACTTTAAGACTTAAAACACAGTCTAAATGACTCCTAATATAGCTTGCTAAACAGAACTTTGTCACTGGTCTCACTTTTTTACTGCCAATCACATGAAAATGGTGTATAGAAATTGTTGAGTCATAATTCACTTGGTACCTACATTCTTGAAGGCAATGTTTTTGTGGAAGGTCCTCAGCAACCTTCTTTGTTAATCTGTCACCCAAGATGACATGACCCACTCAGTTGATGCCACGCCCCCCCCCCCCCCCATGCCAAATCAGGGACATAAATCTGAAACTGAAAGATTTAAAAATGAAAAAACTCAAAAAAACCTTTTTCAAAGATCAAGATCAAAAGTTGAACTTTCGGTTTCAATTTTTTTTCATCCATAATTAGGTCAATGTTGTGTATATATGGCCTTTCCTGCTGCACTTAAGGAAAAAACATCAATTATTGCAGCTTCAACTAAAAATTTCACACTTTTGTCCTTGTCCATTGGCTTATGAGTCTGAATGATCTGTAGCTATATTGCTTCTTTGACTTCTCTTCTAGGACATGATCTGACCTAACCTACAGTGTCTTATTATATGGTTGGATCAACTCCAGTTAGTTAGTTACTCATCAGTAAATGTGACCAAATACATTTACACTGAAAATAGGATGTGTTATTCCTCATGTTGCTGCATCTCTTGTGTTTTCTTCCCTCAGGCATCAACACAAAGCAGACAAGTCATTGGCTCATACACACTCCACAAAGAGTCTAATAAGAGCTTCATCATTATTGGTAAGACACACAAAAGAATGAATGAATATGTCCCTGTGATTCACACACAAGTGCAATGCCCTTTCTACAAATGATGTTGATGTTTGGAATAGGCTGTTTGCTTGGCTCGTGAAGATGACAGGTTGTTGGTCCATCAAAGGGGCCAACAGAGAGAAATACATATATACTCATATACAAATGCATTTTAAAATCCAATTTCTATGTGATTGAATCTGTTATGTATGTTTTGTGTGTTTGAGGTGGATTTGAAAACGGAGTAGCTGAGGGAGAGATTGAAGAAGCGCTACAGCCGGTTTCAGCGCTACGGCTGGTGGTTCAATCTGACTCCACCGTCTGGGCTCTACTGAGTGAGGTCTGACCCGAGAGCTTGTGTGAATTAAGAATGCATTATCCTGTGTTTGTGCACAGAAACTTAAACACATTGCACAAGTAAACGCAATTAAAGAGCATTTAATATTCGCATTAAACTGAATAATGACATAGGATAGGGTGTTAATGTATAATGTCAGAGCATGTGACGGAGGCTGTTATTAAAACTACTTCAGAGTAAGTGCATATGCATAATACATAACTGAACACAGCCAGCTATCAGTCTGATCACATTTTCTTCATACGGGACCAGGGTCCATGCAACACTTACCAGTTCAGTTTTCTATATGAAAAATTAAAGATTTTACATTTGAATTTTCAAATGTTATATTCTGTAATCGTCAGAACAATGTAAAATTGAGATTTAGGAGCTGTTTTTCCATTTATCAATTTGAACAAATTATTTTAAATGATCAAAATCTAGAATATTGAGAAATAGAAACATTCTATTTGTGTGTTGGGCTGACTAAGAGAGCAGCACCTAAGCATTTGGATTCAAATCTGAGTCTGAAGTCTGATTTGGCTGACAGGGGCTGCTTTTCCCGCCCTCCCAATACACCTCTGATTGGCTGGAAGATGCCTCTACAATGATTTAAAGTAAAACTGCAGTGGGTCAGTGGCTGTCAGCTGAGTAGGAGGTCCTTCATATGTGGCCCTGGACACACATGTACACTCTTCCGAAAGAATGTTGACACCTGTGGCTCAGACCCTCTACAAATGTGATTTGGTGTAGAAATTTAGACTTTTGCATTTTTTAGCTCTCAATTTTCTATTTTCATGTGTAACATTTCGATAATAAAATGAGTGTGTTTGAATGGTAGGTGCTAAGCAGCACAGCGTTACACAAAGATGGCTGGAGTTATTCTAGTAAGGAGACAGCATGGAAGAAGACAGAGAGAACAGGCTTTTATAGAAAGTGAACTGCACCTGCTACTCAATAAGGAGATGTGTTGATTTGTCCATGTATCTCCATAATCGTTGAGTGTCTAGCACTTTTCACACTTTGGTTTTTAAGTTTCAATGGCAGTTACTGTTTTTCATTTTGCTTATCGTTTTATATCCTTTTAGTGTGTTATCATTTTAAGTGTTTTTAGGGCAGGTGCAATATTCAACTCACTTTTATCCTGCATTATTATTCTGGGTCTTGTGTGATATGTACTTGTGTACTGTTTGTTGTTGCAATTTCTTGTTGCAGCGTCTGTAGCACTTTGGCCCAAGACAAATGTCCCTATGGGACAATAAAATATATTTGATTTGATCTGAAAATCCAAAGCATTTGGAATGTTAAAATATATTTTTAGAAACTGTCAATCACATAGTTCTGCAACCTAACACTCTTGTTCTTGTCCTTCAGATACATATCAAGATTTGAGGAGTCGTAAACTTGCTGCCATCCAGTCCAGTGCTTCACCTGAAAAAACCTGCCTCCTGCTGGACAAATACCTTTCATTACAAAGAAGAACTGGGAGGTGCCTTCAGACTAAAGACGTTTAGCTTTGGGTTCTGTTCTGAGCCAATCTGACGTCACTTATTTAAACTTCAAATAGCCCATGTTACTACCTCAGAGTATTCAAACAATTCATACAATTTAGATGATCACACAGTATCACTATTGATTATTTTATATTCAGTATTTGCCAATAGATCCCTTTCACCTAATCTTTCACACTAAACCTTTAACTATTGTAATTAGTGAGAAACAGCTCCACAAACTATGAGTTCAGCACGGGATTAAAAATACTGTGTAAGAAACAAAAGGCTAAAAGCCAAAAGAGCTCAATTTGGCAACAAAAATTTGCATTAGGAATAAGGTTACATTGATCACACCACTATACTGCAAAACAGACTAACATAAGCACTTCAGTATTTTTACAAACACATTATATGACTTACTGTCAGCTGTGTCTGACTGCAGAGATGATACATGGTGTTGGGCAGGTACATTTCATCATTGTTTACATGCATTATTTGCTCATTAGGAGTTTTCTATCCAACACCGTGGCATGTCCGGGGTGTAGCCCCAACCCAGATGGATGGATAGACGGATGTCTGTTCAACACTATGTTTTGTATTTGCACACCCAGCAGAGACACCAGTTCCCTGTCCTATTTTTATTTGCTTCACTAATCTGTGCAAATTTGCATACTTGTGACGCACTCACCTGTCACCTGCCCTGTCAAGAAGTTAAGCATTAGTTGTCTTGCGTGAAAACAGCTTCCCATGAGTACAAACACTTATATTCTCATGAGGACTGTACACATTTTGTTTCCCTGTTGTGAAGGAACAGATACAATTACATTACTGGGTTAAGGCTGGTCACATTCAATTATTTCACTATTAAATCCAAAACAGAGAGGTACTGTGTGTGACTCCAAAACCTGGTGTATGAAGACTCGCCAGGGAGGCAGATATACAGTACTTATATGAACTCAGTCCTGCTGCCACAGATGCTCACTGCACCGCTAAATGTGGATTAATCAGCTGCTGAAAATAGTCCCAATATTTCATCCTGTCTGAGTAACATTTGATAAAGACTACTTTGAGCAGCAGTATTAGGAAATTTATGAGGTTTTTTTTTTTTTTAAAGGACATTGGAAAAAAGGAGCAAAATAGGACATTTAGGAGGTTCCATCAGTCACTGGTGTCATGAGAAACGAAGACAAAGGCCTTCTGCTCCTACACAGGCAGGACAAGCCAAAGTTTGGGCTGATCCAAACAGTCCTATTCACGAAACACACAAAAGTATGTAGATAGCACTTCAATGATCTCTATTATTAAACTTCATAGCACTAAAGGTGTTTGTATTACGATGTTTATGAGAAATCCGATCCTTTTTAATAGTTTAGTATAAAGAGACCAATACTGTCACTAGATTCATTGAACCTATGACTGTACACTATCAGTCGAAGTGTGTCTAGTTTTTATCCAACATATAAAGCTACAGGTGGAGAGGCGGTGCAGAACACAAAGCAGTGAGTCACTTGTCGTTGCCAGCACCCTTAGTGACCGTGAGCCTGTGAAAGACTCAATTAACCAATGATTAAATTAGGAAACATGACTCATCAAAGGGAATCCTCACTTTATTAAACCAAAGTCATTTCAAATGAGAAAACAAAAATAACAAATGTTACTGATGTACAAATGCAGTGCAACCTACAAGAAGCAAAAACAAAATGGCAGCAAAGCAAAGTGACATTGTGCTGACAAATCGCCCTTCAGGCTTTACAGGCTGTAACAGCAATACTGACCCAGTAAAACAGGAGGAAAGGGTTTTTTGGGGGATTTTTTGTGACAGCAGGGATATGCAGTGTCAATGACATGATCCTTCAACAGCTTTCCACCTGGAAACAAGGTCAACCAAGGAAGGGAAACAGAAACACTTTATCTCCAAAGAGGGTGGCAGGTATGAGGCCGCATCACAGAAATCTCCGGGCCAAGGAACATCTGATCACATGGTTTATCAGTTTCCTTCATACTGATTTCCGATTAGAGAGATTTGATTTAAGTCACTGTAAATAACTAATAGATTACTATTGTATTGATTTTTAGTTGTTGATTTGCTGCATTAACTGCACTAATGTGTACTTGTGATCATATCACTCAGGACATATGTTAATACCAGGTCTAAATGGTAATGTGTTATCAAACTGATTTCCCCTAACTGGAAAAAAAACAGGCTCCAGTTGTAGAATTTGTGTGTCCTATACATTTCCACCGTCTTCACAAATGAAAGCAATAGCAAATGCCGCCACCTGTAGAGTCAGATATTTCACATGTTTTAGGATTAAGCACTAAGAGTAAAGTTGTTATCAGAGTTATCCAGTCATCCAGGCTGCTTTGGGATAAAGTGTTGGGTTCAGGTTTGGAATGTTCTCCTTACTTTCATTTGCCCTTGGTCTCAGTGGTCTGGAAGACACTGGAGGCAGACATGAGGTTCTCAATGTACTGACCCAGAACTTGGTTCTCCGACTTTAGCTTCAGGTTCTCCTCTTTGACAGCATCCACACGGGAAGACAGGTCTAAGAAAAACACATAGATCAAAATGGTGATATTCTTTCAGTCATGACTGATGAACCAAATAACAACAAATGACACCACAAGAGCAGTATGGAGCCCCTGAGACTCAGAAATGTTCTTCATCAGCATAGTGGTGAGTAGATAATGAGTGAATTTAAATCTTTCAGTGAACTATCCCTTTAAAGCTCCAGTTTGTAAGATTTAGGTGAAAGGGAACTATTGGCAGAAATATAATGTAGAATAATCCTCATGATGTTTTCACTAGTTCGTTTCATCTAAATTGTATGAATTGTAGTTTTCTTTACCCCAGAAAAGCCCTTTATATTTATATACTTTATATTTACATCAAGAGGACCCTCTCTACGGAGGCCGCCATGTTTTTTACATTAGTCCAGACTGGACAAACTAAACACCTTTTGAGTTTTTATGACAACTGAAGCTACCACAGTTTCTTTTTCATGTTTGGAAGGAGAGGGTGAGGTGAGGGGTGTTCAGCTGCAACATGCAACTTTAACACTAGATATCACAAAATTCTACACACTGTAACTTTAATATTTTCAGTTTGAATTTAGTGACATCTAGTGGTGAAGTTGCATATTGCAGCTGAATACAACTGTCCTCACCCTCCCATTCCAAATATGACAGAACCTGTGGTGAACTTTTATTGTCATAAAGACCCAAAAGGTGACTAGTTGTCCAGTCTGGACTACTGTAAAAAAAAAACATGGCAGCCACCGTAGAGGGCACCTGCTCCCTATGTAAATATAAAGTATTTCATTATAAACAGCCCATTCTAGGGTAAAGAAAACAATTCATACAATTTAGATGATCACACAGTATCAATATTGATTATTTTATATTCAGTATTTGCCAATAGATCCCTTTCACCTAAATCTTTCACACTAAACCTTTAACTATTGTAATTTGTGAGAAAGAGCTCTACAAACTATGAGTTCAGCACAGGATTAAAATACTGTGTAAGAAACAAAAGGCTAAAAGCCAAAAGAGCTTAATTTGGCAACAAAACTATGCATTAGGAAGAAGGTTACATTGATCACACCACTATACTGCAAAACAGACTAACATAAGCACTTCAGTATTTTTACAAACACATTATATGACTTACTGTCAGCTGTGTCTGACTGCAGAGATGATACATGGTGTTGGGCAGGTACATTTCATCATTGTTTACATGCATTATTTGCTTATTATGAGTTTTCATCCAACACCGTGGCATGACCAGGGCTTAGCCCGACCCCAGATGGATGGATAGACGGATGTCTGTTCAACACTGTGTTGTGTGTTTCTGTGCAAATGTACATACTTTACTTGCGACCCACTCACCTGTCACCTGTAAAGCAGTTAAGCATTAGTTGTCTTCTGTTGCATGGCGTTGGGGTGAAATCAAAGATAATGTAAATAATTGTAGCTGCTGTTACATTGCCATTGATTTTTGCTTCCTGACTTTTTCATTCACTTTAATCTGCTATCATTATAATCAATTCCATGCAACCAGTCCATACTAATCAGTAGGAAATCTAAGATTAAGGACTTATACAGATGTACAGGTTAGATCCAAAAAATAAAATGTGGTGTTTCACATACCCTTTTACCTGATTAGAGGTGGCAACAGACGATTCATATTCATATTTAGTACCAGTGCAATGACCAAAAAATGTATAGACTTGAATAAATGTCATGTATTGCTTTCTAAATCAGGTCAATACAGCCTATTCTGGGCTTTACTCATTAAGGCTTTGGTGTACAAAAACAACACAAATAAAAAAAACTGGGATTTATAAAACAACCTTGATATGAGGTGAGTTCTGTACT